ATGTACTGTCTGTTTTGATTGTGCTATGTGGCTATCATGGACGACGTGCTGTCACTACTCTGCCGCAACACAGTTTTATCACTAGCGCGGAGGGTAGTTGTCAATCTCGCCTACCAATGTACTTCATAAATTTTTAACATGTACCTTATTTAACATCACGATTGTGTTTTGGACAAATAAAGTTATTATTATTATTATTAAGGCCGCTTTCTTACTTGTCGGCGCGGCAGCGGCACATCAACAGGCTCGGCATACACGGTAGTGCTGTACCGAAAGCTTACCGAGCGCCCATATTTCAGTGGAGCGTTCCTGATTGGCGCGGCATGCGCAGTACAGACTCAATCAGGAACGTTCCATTGAAAGGTACTCTCACTCGGTAAGCTTTATAGAGTACTAGCTTTTGCCCGCGGCTTCACCCGCGTGAAATTAAGTGTCACAAATCGGCATAAATTATAGCCTATATCTGGGTTACAAACAATAATACTGTAAAGTTTCAACAAAATCCGTTCAGTAGTTTTTGCGTGAAAGAGTAACAAGCATCCAGACATCCAAACTTTCGCATTTATAATATTAGTAGGATATTTCAGTAAGCTTTCGGTACCGCGTATGCCAAGCGTGCAGATGTGCCACTGCCGCGCCGATAAATCAGAAAGCGGCCTAACATGACAGTGACACTACAACTGAATTACTAACTGATAACTGAATTCATTTTTAGCGTTTAAAGCCAGAAGGCTACAATGTTGTTCAAAAACACGTATGTATCAAGATACACAAAACTATGTGTATGAAAGTTCATTTGCAAAATGTGGAAACTGTAAAACATTTGTAATTGTAATGGTGCGTTCACATCTAGAAACGTGCCTGTGACCGCGATTGTAACACGTTATGAAGTTTCAATTTATTTCTTAAATTACCAAATTACAAACAATGACTAAATAGCTCTCTTGAAAACATAAAATATTCGGCGATCCTTAAATTCAACCGATTTTTATATTCCACTATTGAATAACTGAAAATTATTTTTACTGCAGGTCGCGATAAAGAACAACGTGGACGTATTCTACTTCGCGTGCCTTATCCCCGCGCACATCCTATTCACTGAGGACGGGCAACTAGACAAGCGGGTGTTCCTCACCACCTGGAAGGAAATACCTGCCGCTAACGAGGTCCAACACACGCTCTCGAACGTCATTGGCAACGCCGACTCCATCGCCCAGAAAATGACCCTAAACAACATCTTCACCATCGCAAAACGCAACGTCGAAGGACAAGACATGCTCTACCAATCACTCAAACTCACCAACAATATCTGGGTCCTTCTAGAACTCAAACTACAACCTGGCAACCCCGAAGCTACCCTCAGCTTGAAATCTCGGACCGTAGAAGTCGCCACCTGCATATTCCAAGCGTACGAAGCGATCATCAAGTCCTAATCTCTCAGATGCTATTTATATGTATATGTTGATCTATTGTTAAAGTATTATGTATACTACGTTGATAGAAATTTGGTAATGTAAACGAACGTTTTGTCATTTTACAATATCATAGGTCCAGATAGGTGTGATTTGATAAAAGATTACCTAGTTTGATTTACATCTATATATATAAAAATGAAACCCGTTTTCCGTTGTCACGACATAACATGAAAACGGCTTGACCGATTTGGCTGATTTTTTTTTGTAGTTTTCTAATACTCTGTACAAGGTTTTTACGGAAAAAAATATAAAGAAAATCTCTACGCTAAGGCGGTACGAAGTTCGCCGGGTCAGCTAGTTTATTATAATTTCTATTGAATATATTGAAGTAAGAGCGGTCATATAAGAATCGCTTATTCAGTAGAATGTGTGAAGTAGCTTCTACAATCGAAGTAAAGTTTTCTTGGCTAAGCGTCCTAATATGGTGCTTATATTATGACAATTTAAGTTCTCCAAACATTTGCCCGAGATTTCGTAAGGGCTGTAAACTAGGCTATAACACAATATATCAGCTTCAGTAATTCGATTATAGGATACTAGCATTTGCCTACGGCTTCGCCCGCGTGATAATTTGTTTGTCACAGAAAACGCGCGTCCCTGTTTCAAAAATCTGGATAAATACTATCCTGTCTTTTCCCGGGACTCAAACTATCTTTATACCAAATTTCATCAAAATCGGTTCAGTAATTTTTGCGTGAGAGCATGACAGACAGACAGTTACTTTTTAATATTAGTAGGGATTGAACCTTAGTTTTTATGACCCCTCTTGCTGTAAATGATGAAGATAGACTTTACGACTGTAAATTCCATTGTAGAGATGTATGAATGATAATTATTATGAGTATAATGTATAAGTTATGAAATTATTTAGCAGCTCATAGCGTCGCGCCGAGTGATTGAGACTATGAATACTATATTATGGCGTTTAAATAAATGATGTTATAACATATTTATATTTATCATTGTATTTTATATCCCTTTCCCTTATACATAATCATTCTGGGTCTTCTAGGGTATTATAAAAATGAAACAACAAAAGTATTAAGAAACATGTCATATATTTATATTTCGTATTTTTTTCCGTGGTCCAGACCGTCTTACCTGCTAGTTTTATGTACAAAACTGTAAAAATTCATACCAAATGTTACTTCTTATATTTAGCAATAATATTGAATTCATTTTATAACTTCACAACATAAATATATGCATTTCATTTAAATTAATTTACATTTCATAAACAGTTCTACAAAAACACAAGTAAAACGGAGAGATTCCAAAATAAAAAAATTACAACTTCATCAATAACTGCAAAATTAAAATTCAAATGTCAAGACAACGACTAAAAAAAGAATTAATTCATTAAAATCTGTAGTAATAATAATAAAATGAAAAAAATATATGGCATACTTCTATCAATAATAAAATTAATTTAATTCATTTAATATGGACATAGCCGAAGATATGTGAGATCCTTAGTGTATTGAATTCCCATAGCCAGAGAAATAAATTGCTGTATAAAGTTACAAGCAATACACACATATCATATAGACAATCATCCTAAAGTCGAGACGTTACAAAATTCATTTTCAAACGTATGTACAATACATTAGATGCTAAATTTATTAATACATAAAATACTTTAAAATGTCGGAACAAAACATATTTTGGAATTGATAAAATTCATGGAAATACATAACTAGATCACGTTTAATCTATTTTCACGAGGAATTCCTCTACTTCTAACTTTTGCCGCATTATCGCGGATAGCACCACCTCGGTACTGCAGACCACGTTTAGGGTTTTTTCAGACTGCAGTAGGTAATAAACTAGGTGTAAATCGTTGGGCACAGTCAGCACTAGATAGCTGAAGGGTTTTTGCGTGTGCATTTCCTGGATAGAGACGTAGGAGCGTCGGTTCTTCTCGACTTTTCCGCCGCAGAGTTCGATCATTTCAGTGAGCGCGGATCTTGAGGGCTTCACACAAGGGGTGAGGAAGAAGGTGATTCCTTCGAAGAGCTTCCTTCTCTGCTCGCCCGATAACAGCACCTCGCCAATGTCGCATTTGAACATGCTGTTGAATGCTTCGTCCCTGTGAACAATTTAACGGACAATGTCAATAGGTATTCAATATTATAGCTTAGAGAAGGTGATTTGCGGGCATGTGACCAAGACATTGTGAGTAAATAAATCTGTTATATTTTCTAGGCTATGCATGTGCTAACTTGACTCCAGAAACGGAAAGACCGAAAACATCTAAAAAAAAACTTTTACTTAATGAATGTTTTTTTATTATAAAACAAAGGCAAAAATAAAAAAAGGAGTTCGAAATATTAACTACCCGCCAATTCGAAGTTAATGACGCACGATTCAACCATTCGACGGTTATTCACTCGAGGCCTAAAATCGTGTTTCTTGCCGTATTATACTGTACAAAGTGCCATAAGTGAATATTTTGGTGATTTACTGGAACTGATCCCTAGACTGTAAATAATAATGTACTTGTGAAAATGAACGTAAAGCGCGTTTAAGCGGGCCCACCAGTGGATGGTTTTTTTTTTTCAAAAACAAGGACTACGCGGTAAGTGACAAGTGACTCTTTCATTTTTAGCAAACTTTCGATTGTTTATGTATGTGTAGGATACGAAGTTGTAATCTTCATTAATTATTCTTTTTTATTCAACGGTTGCTGACGTCACGTGACTCTTTCATTTTTAGCAAACTCGATCGTGTGTGTATGTGTAGGATACGAAGTTGTAATCTTCATTAATTTTTTTTTATTCAACGGTTGCTGACGTCACATGACCCGATGATACATACCTGAGCTCGTGCGCCGCCTCGTCAGCGAACTTGCCCTGTCTCTGGCTGTCGCGCACCCACTCGCAGCTCAGCAGGTGCTTGACGCTGACGAGGCACGCCACCAGCTTGCTGGTCCGAACCAGACGCTCCATCACTAGATGTGTAGCCTCGGCTGCTGACGTCACCACCAGCCCGCCCAGTTGCCTGTGGAGTTGATGAGAAATTAATAATAAATAAACATTTTTATGTGATATTTATGAACTTTTACTACTTGATCCAATGAGGTATTTCAACTTTTTAACTACATAAAAATCTTATTATATTCTAAGACTTTATAAAAAAAGTGTCGGCCCAGTATGCGTAATTTTTCAAATATATTTTTTATACAATAATAGACATTATATTCCAAATTGCTTTATGTACTTCCTATCAAAGACATCTATAATTTATTTGATTGCTATTGTAAATACCAGTAAAATTGCAATGCCCTTGCAGGGCCCATATGTTTACCTTACATATTTTATAAGACCTTACTGTACATACATACATATGTGATGCAATAAATAAATGAATATGAATATGAATAATAAGTGTCTATGAAATTATAGGATGAAGGAAGAGTCTGAAATGTTCAGCTATGCGATCAAACTAAAATTAAAGTTTGATATTGAACTAATACACAGTATGCTCCTAATGAAAATAATATGAATAGGAAATTAATTAATTTGAAACTAAAATAATAAATGTATAACAAAATACATAACGATCAGGTGTACTCTTAGATTGTATGATGAAATTAATTCGATAAACTAACGATAAGTAGGTACATCCATATTTAATCAATTCCTTTAATTTTCGCTTCGTTTTCAATGACATTTTCATCAGAATTATCGCTGAAAATTTAAAAAACAAAGTATATTTATTATTATGAATATTGAATTTAGTAATTTGGCCATGTATGGCATGGGCTCTTAGATAGTTTTAATAGGGGCTATATTGCAACAACCTGTCTAATATCGATGACTTACTTGACAAGAGCAGCTAATCTATTCTGGTCATGGTGTGGCACCGCCGAGAACAGAACCCTCGGCGCCAGGTGCAGCGGCGGCTGTTGTAACGCCGCGGGTGCGGGCGGTCGCGGCGCTGCGTGAGCTCTGTCTAGTTGTAATAGAGGCAATATTGCAACGAACAGTCTACTAGTCGATGGTTTACCTGACAATAGCAGTGAGTCTGTTCTGGTCATGATGTGGCACCGCCGAGAACAGGACCCTTGGAGCTAAATGCAGCGGGGGCTGCTGTAACGGCGCGGGCACAGCCGACAGAGGCGCGGGCTCTATGTAGTTGTAATTGATGCTATTTTGCAACAACCTGTCTAATATCGATGACTTACCTGACATAGCAGCTAATCTATTCTGGTCATGGTGTGGCACCGCCGAGAACAGGACCCTTGGCGCTAAATACAGCGGCGGCTGCTATTACGGCGCGAGCGCAGTGACGAATGGCGCGGGCCCTATTTAGTTACAATAGGTGCTATTTTGCAACGAATCTATGTGACTTTGCGTGACCTGGGAAAGTTGCCTTACCTGACAATAGCAGCTAGTCTGTTTAGGTCGTGGTGTGGCACCGCCGAGAACAGGACCCTTGGCGCTAAATGCAGCGGCGGTTGCTGTAACGCGGCGCGAGCGCAGCTCTGTCTAGTTGTAATAGGGGTTATATTGCACCGAACAGTCTACTAGCCGATGGTTTACCTGACAATAACCGCGAGTCTGTTCTGGGCACCGCCGAGAACAGGAACCTTGGAGCTAGATGCAGCAGGGGCTGCTGTGTCGGCGCGAGCGCAGTGGTGAGAGGCGTGGGCTCTATGTAGTTGCAACAGATGCTATTTTGCAACAATTTTATGTGACCTGGGAAAGGTTGCCTTACCTGACGATAGCAGCGAGTCGGTTCTGATCGTGGTGTGGCACCGCCGAGAACAGGACCCTTGGCGCTAAATGCAGCAGGGGCTGCTGTATCGGCGCGAGCGCAGTGGTGAGATGCGCGGGCGCTATTTAGTTGCAACAGATGCTATTTTGCAACAATTTTTTGTGACCTGGGAAAAGAGTGCCTTACCTGACGATAGCAGCTAGTCTGTTCTGGTCATGGTGTGGCACCGCTGAGAACAGAACCCTTGGCGCTAAATGCAGCGGCGGTTGTTGTAAGGCGGCGGGCGCGGGCGGTCGCGGCGGGGACAGACGCGGGCGCTTGGCGCGGCGCTGCGTGAGCGCGGCGGCGGCGCTGCGTTTGGCGCGCTCGTTGGACTCTTGCGTTATGTTTATGGGCATTTTCCACGCGTCTGGGGGATAGAGAGTAAATATAAAGAAATAAAATTAAAATCCCTCTAAAGTCCGGTCGCCGAGCAGATAGAATTTCGTCCCATGACCCTGATTCTTTTCATAATTCTGTAACGAATACGAAGAGAGTAAAATGAAAAACCGTATTGTGCCTGTTCCAGTCTGACATCTTTATTTTTTGTTTTATAATTTACTTTTAAATCCTTTCCTTGACAGCTAGCCTAAGCTACCCATCGTTATCGCTCGTTATATTGCTGTCGCGATTGTGCGACGGGCGACAGCAATGAGTGTGCAAGCGCGACAGCAATATAATTACGCGCGAGCGATAAGGATGGGTAGCTCGGGGTCATTGGACAAAATTCTACGTGCTCACAGACCAGAATATAACAAAAAACCTTACTCATCAGATGAGACACCAAACTGTAATCCATCCTAAACGGACTGGCTAGGTTGAATTGCTGATATTTGGCATTCTCGATCTGAAAGAGAAAAAACATGTGAGTATGTGTAAAAAGGATTCTAAAACTTAACAACTTCCGAACCTTGTCCCCTAGTGTACTTCTACTATACTCTAGTTCTAGTACTAAGGCGGACCACCTTATGCCCGGTTTACACCAAGGGAGAGCGAAGAACTGTTATGAAATGAGATTTGCTTATTCAAAACACTTCTCCGCTCCACTTCGCCTTGATAGAAACCGGGTCTTAAATGGTACTTATCTCCGCGCTCACGTTGTCGTCACGGGTGACGTCACTGTGTGCTCACCTGCGCGAGAGCGCTCATGTTGCCCAGCAGTAAGTCCGTGAGCCAAGCTGCAGTGACCACTGGGATGCCCCACTCGCGAGTCATTACTGTCGCCTCGCGTGTGTCGTCACGGGTGACGTCACTGTGTGCTCACCTGCGCGAGTGCGCTCATGTTGCCCAGCAGTAAGTCCGTGAGCCAAGCTGCAGTGACCACTGGGATGCCCCACTCGCACGTCTATACTGTCGCCTCGCGTGTGTCGTCACGGGTGACGTCACTGTGTGCTCACCTGCGCGAGTGCGCTCATGTTGCCCAGCAGTAAGTCCGTGAGCCAAGCTGCAGTGACCACTGGGATACCCCACTCGCGCGCGCGTCTGTACTTGTTGCCTTCAGCTCGCTTGCAGATTAGCACTGTGTTGTCGCGCGTCATGTATGGCGTTAGCTGTAAAGATGAAAGTTTGTGTAAAAAACAGGTCCCTTATTACGTTAATGAGGGCTACTTTTTTGCGGTCACCAGTTGGCGCCACTGTAGAGTAAGGTCCTGTCAATTTCTAATGATAGTGGCGACACCTGGTGAGCACTGAAGCGGTAGGAAGACTATCGTATTTTCTCGCACTAGGATGGCGCCACTGTAAAGTGGGGTCCTATTACTCAGCACCTAGTGAACACAAAAACCATAACCCTCATTCAAGTGGCATACTATTATTTTACTTCAGCTTGAAAAACGCTATTGATTGCGATAACATATCATCAGCAGAATACCCTCTTCACTTGTCTTTTACACTCATCTCGTCAACTCGATAAAGCATAGACTAGTGTAACACAATCGTAGCCATTGAGATGTAACCATATCTCACCTTAGCTCCAATATGCTCCACGCAGAAAGTAATTCTGTCCCTCTCTTCGTCCCTCCAGCCCGATATGGCGCAGCGATGGTGCCTCGCAGGGCGGTCGCGTGCAGCATACATGCTCGGTAGATGTAACGCCTGCCAGGGCGGCGCTACGCCTCGACGCAACATTGCGTCTGAGAGCCAGTATGCGGTCACGCAGCGTTTCGCGTCTCGTAGTGCCTGGAAAGAAGTTTTTATGTAAAGTGCTGCATAGAATACAACGGAAACAGAAACGTGAAACCTGAAAGTAGATCAACACATCATTTTGTATGTTTTTAATAGTCTTTCGAACAAATTAACTGTCTCTATCTCTCCAAAACCACGATATAACGTATGGTGGTGAAAAATGAATGGTGTTACATTTTTGTACACATTTCTTTTATGGGCCGTGGTGGACACTCGATAATTAAAAAACGTGCATTATAACCTCACAAAAAAAAATAACTAAATTCTTTGTCAGGAAGCCAGTAACTGACAGTTAAAAAGGGACCGAAATGCATTTTCCATACTTCAAATTTTCTTTAACGTCCGTATTCAGTAACATTACTATGAGGTATCACAGTGCGCGTGGACGCACAGGGTGGCATACGAACCAATCATAGAGCTCTATACAACGCTGTGCGTTCGATTTTCTGCTTCACTTAAGCAAGCATCGTTTGTGAATACGGGCGTAAATGTCGCTCCTGTAATATTGATAAAAGTCAGTTCCCTCTTTTCGTGATTTGGCCCAGGATATTTAGTTTACCTGCATGACAACCCCGTGCTTCTGAGTCTCGCACAGCACGTGCGTGACGCGCGCACAGTATCCCGCCTCGACTTCACCGCCGCGCCGCACTATTGCTTCTGCCCAGCGAGCCACGCGCTCCGTCCCCCAAGACTGCTGGTATTCCACCTGTAACAAAGGTTTACCCTCTATTATGTTTTAGACCTTATCATAGAGTGACTAAGGTTTCTTATTGGTGGCAATATTATGAGTCGAAGCTCTGTTAACTCTATGAAATTCAAGACTTTTTACTGCGAGCCTTATTGCATATTATTATGTCTTGCTTGCAGCTTATTCATTTCAAGGAAAATGAAATTTTTTGATATTATAATTTACGTTCGGACCACGTTTTGGGGGCTGGCAATGTCTAGAGTATTTAATATCGCTGTGGTATTATCACTTACAATGTGGAACATACAGTCCAGTGGGAACAGGTCGGGCGGTAACTTCAGGTTGGGGTAGGACAAAGTGTGCCAAAATGTGAGTTTTAGTACGTTTTAAGCCCAATTTTAGTTACCACTTACAATATGAAACACGCAGCCCAGCAGGAACAAATCGGGCGGTAGCTTCAAGTTGGGGTTGTGTCCGTAGAACTGCGCGCGCGGCGGCGGCGCCCGCACGGCGCCCGCGTACACCTTGCCGCCGCCCACCCCTAGACCGGTTGATTCGATCCGTTTACGTTACGGTCACGTGCTTACGTAGACTGGATGCCCGGTTGAACGCGCGGCGAAAGGCGATACGTTATTGATTTCTTTTGCGATATCCACGGGAAGACTGAAGGTGGTCCTATTCTACTCGACCAGAATCACCGCTAATGTCTGGCAAGGGGTTGAAATACTTATTCGAAGTGTTTCAGCATAAAGAGTGCTCATATGGCGTCCGAAACTCTTTCGGGATACATTTTGAGCATTGGCAGTGTATCTAGATCAGGGTTTCCCAATTTTTTTTGCCAAGGAACCCTAATTGATTATAATTTTCCTAGCGGAACCCCCGTACTACTCCGCCCGCACGCCCTGCCCCTCCCTTGTGCGTAAACAAGTCGATGCGCGCGAACAACGGCAGTCACGAAACGTGGGATAATATTTTTTACGGAACCCTTGCGGCCTTTCCACGGAACCCCAGGGTTCCGCGGACCACCTTTCGGGAACCGCTGATCTAGATTACGTCGTTTGTCACTTACAATATGGAACACGCAGCCCAGCAGGAACAGGTCGGGCGGTAGCTTGAGGTTGGGGTTGTGTCCGTAGAACTGCGCCGCACGGCGCCCGCGTACACCTTGCCGCCGCCCACCCGTAGCCTGATTGATGCCGATCCGTTTACGTTACGGTCACGTGCTTACGTAGACTGGACGCCTGGCTGACCGCGCGGCGAAAGGCGATACGTTGTTGATTCCTATCCGGGTTGATAAATGTGGTGTGTACGCACGTTTCTCCTTTAGTTACGTCTTACGATATCCACGGGAAGATTGAAGGTGGTCCTATTCTACTCGACCAGAATCACCGCTAATGACTGGCAAGTGGTTGGAATACTTATACGAAGTGTTTCAGCAAGAAGAGTGCTCATACGGCGTCCGAAACTCTTTCGGGATACATTTTGAGTGTTAGGGTCTGACTAGACTTAAGATATACTATACATTAAAGGCGGACTGTATTTCATAGGTATAATGATTATAAAATATATCGCTAGTTCGCGCCTACGTGGGAGGGCCGCGTCTGACACCGGTGACGGTCGAGAGGCCGAGTGGGCGTCGGGCACGTACGGAGTGTGCCGGCGCCTCGCGCGGAGCCGATGATGGCCGATCGATGTCGATGAAGCCCGAGGACCCGAGAAGCGCCAACATTGAGCATTAGCAGTGTATCTAGATTACGTCGTTTGTCACTTACAATATGGAACACGCAGCCCAGCAGGAACAAATCGGGCGGTAGTTTCAAGTTGGGATTGTGTCCGTAGAACTGCGCGCGCGTACACCTTGCCGCCGCCCACCCCTAGATCGGTTGATTCGATCCGTTTACGTTACGGTCACGTGCTTACGTACACTGGACGCCTGGTTGACCGCGCGGCGAAAGGCGATACGTTGTTGATTCCTATCCGGGTTGATAAACGTGCTACGTACGCATGTTTCTCCTTATTATGTCTTGCGATATCCACGGGAAGACTGAAGGTGGTCCTATTCTACTCGACCAGAATCACCGCTAATATCTGGCAAGGGGTTGGAACTTGGAATACTTATACGAAGTGTTTCAGAAAGAATAGACAATTTGACACCATTCCCCAATAATTCGAAATCACAACTTTTCTAATAATACACTTCGTTCTGGTGTAAAAAACTTAATTAATTTTAAATTATATGTAAAATACGATTTTTGGTCGCATTGTAATTGAAAAAAGTAGTTTAATTGAGTTGACAAAATAGTGACGTCACTAGCTTGTAGTGCCATACAAAATCTATGGGAGAGTTTCGTTTTGACAGCTTTAAAAAGTACGTCAGTTGATTGGTGGTGTCAACATGTCTATAGTGCTCATACGGAGTCCGAAACTCTTTCGGGATACATTTTGAGCATTGGCGGTGTGAAGGGGTTGAAATACTTATACTTGTATTATGTTCTGTCTATCGTCACTCACGATGTGGAACACGCAGCCCAGCAGGAACAGGTCGGGCGGTAGCTTGAGGTTGGGGTTGTGTCCGTAGAACTGCGCGCGTACACCTTGCCGCCGCCCACCCCTAGACCGGTTGATTCGATCCGTTTACGTTACGGTCACGTGCTTACGTACACTGGACGCCTGGTTGACTGCGTGGCGAAAGGCGATACGTTGTTACTTCCTATCTGGGTTGATAAATGTGCTACATACGCATGTTTCTCCTTTATTACGTTTTGCGATATCCACGGGAAGACTGAAGGTGGTCCTATTCTACTCGACCAGAATCACAGCTAATGTCTGGCAAGTGGTTGGAATACTTATACGAAGTGTTTCAGCAAGAAGAGTACTCATACGGCGTCCGAAACTCTTTCGGGTTACATTTTGAGCATTGGCAGTGTATCTAGATCAGGGTTTCCCAATTTTTTTTTTGCCAAGGAACCCTAATTGATTATAATTTTCCTAGCGGAACCCCCGTACTACTCCGCCCGCACGCCCTGCCCCTCCCTTGTGCGTAAACAAGTCGATGCGCGCGAACAACGGCAGACACGAAACGTGGGATAATATTTTTTACGGAACCCTTGCGGCCTTTCCACGGAACCCCAGGGTTCCGCGGACCACCTTTCGGGAACCGCTGATCTAGATTACGTCGTTTGTCACTCACGATGTGGAACACGCAGCCCAACAGGAACAGGTCGGGCGGTAGCTTGAGGTTGGGGTTGTGTCCGTAGAACTGCGCGCGCGGCGGCGGCGCCCGCACCGCGCCCGCGTACACCTTGCCGCCGCCCATAGACCGGTTGATTCGATCCGTTTACGTTACCGTCACGTGCTTACGTAGACTGGACGCCTGGTTGACCGCGCGGCGAAAGGCGATACGTTGTTGATTCCTATCCGGGTTGATAAATGTGGTGTGTACGCATGTTTCTCCTTATTACGTCTTACGATATCCACGGGAAGATTGAAGGTGGTCCTATTTTACTCGACCAGAATCACCGCTAATATCTGGCAAGGGGTTGGAATACTTATTCGAAGTGTTTCAGCAAAAAGAGTGCTCATATGGCGCCCGAAACTCTTTCGGGATACATTTTAAGCATTGGCAGTGTATCTAGATCAGGGTTCCCAATTTTTTTTTGCCAAGGAACCCTAATTGATTATAATTTTCCTAGCGGAACTCCCGTACTACTCCGCCCGCACGCCCTGCCCCTCCCTTGTGCGTAAACAAGTCGATGCGCGCGAACAACGGCAGTCACGAAACGTGGGATAATATTTTTTACGGAACCCTTGCGGCCTTTCCACGGAACCCCAGGGTTCCGCGGACCACCTTTCGGGAACCGCTGATCTAGATTACGTCGTTTGTCACTTACAATATGGAACACGCAGCCCAGCAGGAACAGGTCGGGCGGTAGCTTGAGGTTGGGGTTGTGTCCGTAGAACTGCGCGCGCGGCGGCGGCGCCCGCACCGCGCCCGCGTACACCTTGCCGCCGCCCACCACGCCGCCCACGCCCACGCCCACCGCGCCCGCCTACGAAAGTATCAATGGTTAAAAGTTGCTATAAAACTCATTTATTTCGACAAATAGGCTTTAAACGCTTGAGTCCCAGACGGCATTCATTAATGTCATAACAATTGATTATCTATTGTGTCTAGATTCGCGGGCCTTGAAGGATTAAAAAGCACTTTTACACGTCCCAGCTACACTATAGTGTAGAAGACGCCACTAGCAGTTGATATACTGGTATGACCTGTCAAAAAGAGACGGCGAAAGATTTTGTGTGGCAATGTGAAACTATGACGCCAGGAATTTTTGACATTTTATTTTATTTATTTAGCAACCAAAAACATTGCCTTAACAAAAAAATGCATAAAAAAAACCTTATTTATACAAGCTTAGTATCTTATTAAAAATGACAATTTATCGATTAGCGGTGTCGAGTTTATGCTGGTTTTCTTCAATCCTAATCCAAATCCATTCGTCAACTGTCAAATTTAAATGTTTTTGGTCAAAATATCTGCGGTTTTCGATGTTTTTAAGTTGATTATAAGACTATTTAAACAATATTAAAGTGTCGAAAACTAACGTGTCGTGTAACGCATCGAAAATTGTGGATATTTTATCTAAAACTGAATTAAATTTAACAGTTGAAATCCGGATTTGGACAAGGATTGAATATAGGAAACGGGCGTTAGTCAATTGGACTTCAGATGTAAACAATCGTCAAAATATTGAGCGGTAATCGCTGATTACATGCAAGTGACGTCATCATTGATGTACAAGCATTTTTTTGTTCACGATAATGCACATCGCTGAAAAATCATAATAAAATTCATAACAACATTTCCGACAAAAAGTATAAAAAAATGAAATTGTATAACTGTGGAGAATACTAACCTGATGCGGGTGGTGATTGAGGAGCAGCCTTGCAGGGGCTCTCACGGCGCCACCCGCCGCGTGCGCCGCTGTCATCAACCTGCAAACAATTTAATTATCTATAAACAACGCTACACTTTAGGCACTTCTAACTAAAAACTTGTCTCCAAAAGACAGAACTACCTAGCCGCCAGGCTGATAGTAAGTCGGAAGTGATATTTTTAATGCAATTATTTCTGCAAGATGCAACACGCACGTCTCAATCCGACTCGAGGTGAGGGCTTGGGTCTCCGGTTTTCTTGCGGAATCCGCAAATAATTGCATTAAAAATATCACTTGTGACTTACTACAAGTGATATTTTTAATGCAATTATTTCTGGAAGATGCAACACGCACGTCTCAATTCGACTCGAGGTGAGGGCTTGGGTCTCCGGTTTTCTTGCGGGATTCGGTTTAATGTAAACAGCTAGCCCTGGTCCCCTGTTTCGGGAAAATCCGTTGTCCTAGGTGAACGACGGGACGCGACCAATACTTCACACACGATTTTCCCACGAAGGCTACTATTATACCAACTACTATTTGATATTTCCACGTCAAGTTGCCGCATTTGTTGTTCACCTAGGACAAACAAAGGGTTAGAAAATCTGATGAAATCTAAAGCGAGGTATGATACCTGAGGGTCCCCGCGGCGGACGGTTCATGGTCAGCGGGCGGGGCGGCGCCCTGAAGCCGAATGCTGAGCATATTGGCCAGAGCTGTCTTCGTCTTGTGATTCACCAGAAGCGCGCCGCCTGCACCTAGCACAGTAATTTTAATTACACATTAACGGGAATAAAAGAAGCTGCTACTAGCCTTACGGGATTAAGATCCGTATTTGAAACCACATCTAGAAACGGTTTCACAATACGCCCAATCGGAAACGAATCCAGAAGTACAGAAATCGAATCAAGTGTGTAAACTAGGATTAAAATAGTTCTACAGTTGTAGAGTTGTCGGAGTAGTTACTACGAACAGTATTTTTACGGATTCGGTGCGGACGTAGTGGAAACCACTATAAGTGTAAGGCCCTTTTCACATGTT